CTGCCTGCTGGCGAGTGGGCTCGCCACTCAGCTGGTGGGGCCTCTCCTCCTGCTGTTCGTTTCTTTCCCATCTCTCCCCCTCATCCACCTCCTCCCTCCGTCTCTCTCTTCCTCTCTTCCTCCTTTTCCGTCGGTGGGCTTTCATCCTGCCTCACGTGGTGGCAGCCCTGAATGCCAACGGCTTCTGGGGCCTGTGACTCAGTGTCCCCATGCAAACACCCAGGGCCACTGCGATTAGGAAGGAGTGAGCTTCCCTGCTGTAAAGGGATCATCACTTTGGTGGGGAGGGGCCTGAGCTGGCTGGTGGGCGTGAGGGTCTGTATGAAGGTATGGCCCGGCAGGACGGGACAACGTGGCCCTCTTCATGCGTGACGCTAGGTGCACACAGGGCGGGCACAGGTGTCAGGGAAGGGAGGAAGTAGGCAACCGGGGCATCGGGCAGCCTAGGGCATCTCTGGCAATTTCCCCAATGGAGTGCTTAGCCACAAAGGGAAGAGCAATTAAAGCTAATCGCTCTGACAGCCTGGGGGCCAGACTCATCGAGAAACAAAACCCACGGATTCAGCATGTTTCCCGAACTCCCCGCGGTCTCACCCCACCGTGCTCTCAGCGCGCTCTCCGAGCCAGCGCAGCCCAGCCCCCAGCCCTCTTCCCACTCCTCTGACCACCTCCGTGTCGCTGCCTCCCCTCCCGTTCCGACTGTCCCTGTCCCTCGCACACATTCCCCTCATTCTCTCTCTCTCCGACTTAGGCTCCATCCTTGGCTGACTCATACTCATTCTTTTTCTCCCACCCCCTCCTCCGTCCCTCGGCCACTCTGGGCCGCAGAAACCAGCCACTCCCAGCACCCGAGGCTCTCGGTGGACCCAGCGAGAGAGGCCACCGGCAGCCCCTGACCCTCCCCACTCTGCCAGCTTCGGAGCCGCGGGCAGGCTCTGGCACTCCGGGTCCTGTCTCCCGGTCCTGGAGTGAGAGCAGGATTTCCTCCCAGCTCTCCTGTTTGAGAGACGGGCAGCCAGAAGTCCGGGGCTGGGAGAATCTGCCCAGACAGTCAGGGTGGCGGCAGGGACAGGGCCCCCACTCAGCTGTCCTGCGGACAGATGTGCCTCCGGGAGGCACATGGAGGCAGTGGGGGAAGGGGGATGTGTAGTGCGGGGACGGTTGTGATTTGCTGTGTGCGAAGCGATGTGTGTAAGAGTCACATGGGTGTGTGTCACCGTGTGTGCTGGCGTGTCTCTTGTAGGTGTGTGTGTCCCTGTCAGTTCCGACATGGAGTGTAGGCAATTAATCGGGGCTTTTACGTCGGCTCCTTCCCTCCACCCCCAGCTCCTGACCACCCCCCGCCCGGCCGCCCGGCCGCCCGGCCCCCCGGCCCGCGCCCGCCGATCCCCGCCCTAGCCCGCGGGCCGCGGCGGGGCGGGGGAGGGGAGGGGGAGCCTGGCCGAGCCGGCCGCGCGGGAAACGGGCTCCCGCCGAGACCCCGGGCCGGCCCCACACGCACCCCGGTCGGCGGACGCCCCCTCCAGCCCCGGCTCGCCGCCCCGGCCCCGAGCCTGCCCGCCTTCCCCCTCCCCCGCCCCCGGCCCGCCTCTCACCGCCTCGGGCTGAGCGCTCAGGGCGCGGCTCTCCGGCGTCCCGGTTCCTGGGGCAGCGTCCGGAGCCTCCTCCTCGGCTCCCGCCGCTCCTGCCGCCGCCGCCGCCGCTTCCGCCCGCCGAGCCCGAGCCCGAGCACCGCGCGCGCCCCGCCCGGCCGGCCGGTGACGTCAGCGCCGGGGGCGGGGCGGGGGGCGGGGGTTCTGAAAGGCTCGCGGGTGGGCTGCCGAGGGCCGCTGCCGGAGTCCCCCCCTCGCCCTCCCCCCCGGACCGCGGTGCCCCGCTCCCAGGGGGACAGCCTCCTGTCCTGGCCACCTTGCGGTGACCACCGCAGCTGGGACCCTGGGGAGCACAGAGGGAGTGAGGGTTTAGGCCCTTGGAGGGCCTTGGGCCTCTGATCCTCTTAGCTGGCCGACCTGTGTTGGGAAAAACCTCTTTCCTCCCCTTCTGGGTCAGGGGACCGGTAGCGAAGGGCCGGAGGACCGCTCGGACTCATCCACACTGGAGGGCGGGGTGGACGTAGGGATGCCGGCGGGAAGCCACGTGGGGCCTCCTTGCCTTGACCTGGAGCCCGGATCCGCTCTCCTCTCTCTCCTCGGGGTGATGGCCCGTGGGGTTTTTCTCACCTTTCCCAAACATACCGCCCTCCTGCCTTCCCCCCCCCACCATGATGTAATTTTATTTTTCTGGGGAGGAAGAGAGCAGAAGTGAGCTCAGCATGCAAATATAGACGTCTTGCAAAGCCACACTTAGCTGTCTCCTCGCTCTGCCTCTCTGCCCAGGCCCGGCATGGCAGCTCTCACTTCCTCTCCACCCCAGGGACTTTCCTCCCCCAGATTCTCAGCCAGACTGAAAGAGGGAAGGAAGAAGTGGGGAAGCATCTGTCTGCACCCAGGCTCCCGCCTGAGGGCCCTTGCCTCCACTCTGGCAGAGTCGGGCCCTGGGAAGAGGTCCGAGCCGCATCCAGGAAGGCCCTGGCCTCCCCTCAGTGCTGGCCGGGCAGACACCCCCTCACGAAGCCTCAGGTGAGCCCCTCCTTTCTTGGTCTAACTGCGCCCAAAGAGGTCAGACTCCTGCTGCCTCCCCTTCTCTTCAGCGACCTCTCCTGTCACCCCCTCTGAGAGCAAGACCACCTCATCCTCTGCCGTGTGCCTGTCTCGTTTGCTCTGTGTCGTGGGACCAAAAGCCATGTCACCGGCCCATCTGCGAGACTCAGAGAAACGGGATGACTTCTGTAGGGTGACAGGCTCTGGTCTTCCCGCGGGGGGTGGGGGTGGGGGTGGGGGGTGCAGGGGCTTCACGCTGGCTCCGCCCCTTTCTCCGGCAGGTTAAAGCCTCTGACTCCCAGGGGCCCTGCGGCTGAGATGGGGAAGCTGATGCCCACCCGACAGGGTTCTCCGGAGACTTGGAAATCCTAAGTGTCTAAGGACTGGCATAGGTGGGCGCTGGAAACCTAGGGGCGACTTGTTTAGTCTGGGGCCTTCCGCTGACCCCTGCTAGAGGGTCAGCACCCCCCCCCCACCTCCCGTTAGGACTGTGTGAGCCCAGGGCCCACCCCACGTATCAGACCAAGTACGGAATGGTCGCAAATTGGTTTCTGCTCTACGCTCTTCTGTCTCCTCCAGGAGCACTTCCTTGGTTGGTCTCTGGAGGGTGACATGTGTGTCACCTCAGGCCTCCTTCTGCACCTAGCAGTCCACTTTTCTCTCAGCAGCACCTTCATACCTGGCCCATGACAACCGTCCCCTCTGAGTTCTGGGTGCGGTCAGTTCCTTGGCTTCCCCACACGACGACGTCCGACTCCCTGGCCCGAACACCGGCCTGGGCTGTGCTGCGGGGAGGGCGGGCCCTTCCTGCCGGGAACCTGGGCAGCCCGGGTCCGGGCTCAGGGTGGGGGCCCCGGTGTACAAAACTCTGTGTCCCCTCTCCATCCCAAGGCCACCGCTCGGGCTCTCCCAACTTCTGATGGGCTCTGACAGTGAGAGTCGCCCCCCCCCCCAGCATACACCTGCTGTCTCCACCCTCCCGTCCCTCTGCCCATCCCGCTCATCGCTGCCCTTCCTCCCAGCCCCAGGATTAAATTCAAACTCCTCTACAGCCCGTGATGCCCCTCCATCCTCGTGGCCTCCACGTGAGGGTCTCTTCTTGTCCCTCTCCTCTCTTCTGCAGCCCCAATACGACGCCCACATTCCACCTGTGCTTTTGGTGCCCTCCACTGACTGAAATGCCCCTTCCCTGTCTCCTGTGGCCCGTCAAACCCCATTCCTCACTGAAGGCCTAGAAAGCGCTCGCTGCTTGGAGCCACCGGAGCCCACGGGGCCTCTCTCTCCTGACCCTTTCTGTTCGTTTGCTCCTTCTGTCAACAGACATTTGTTGGGGGCCCCCTTTTGTGCGCCAGGCCCTGGGGGCACAGAGGAGAAGCCTGGGCTCCTGCCTTCCAGGGGCCTGCAGTCCCCTGGGGAAGACGGACGGGTGGCTACAGATGGAGGGTAGCTGAGGAGTACTGGGTTGGAGGCCGAGAGGGTGCAGCGCGACCCCAGAGGAGGGAACCGCCGCGGGCCGCCTCTGGGAAGGCCTCACCAAGAAAGTGATATTTGGGGTCAGTGTTGACGGTTCAAAGAATAGCTGCAGGGAGGGTGCTATCAAGCAGCACATAATCACTTAATTACGTATTGCTTTGTGTTGGGCTTCAATTGTTTAGTTGCTTGTCTTGACTTCCCAGTGGGGCTGATCGGCACTCCCTGTTCTCCCAGAACCTACCAGTGGTGCCGGACGGACACCACGTGTGCGGGGAGAGCTTATGGACTGGCAGCAAATAAACAGTTCGCTCTTCTCTGGGGTAACTGCCTGGAGGGAGCCCCCCATCCCAGCGCCCTAACAAGGCCCCCCCCGCCCCCATCCTCGGGCTGCCTCCCCCCGCTTGCCGTGGGGGGTGAGACCTTGGCAGCAGACACTTGCTCATGCTGCCCCGGATCCTTTATTGAGGCCTCTCGATATTGACCCAAATAGATTAACAAGAGATTGCTGGGGGAGAGAGAGAGAGAGAGAGAGAGAGAGCGCGCGCCCCAGACGCAGGGCCCACGCTTCCTCCTGGCCAGGGATCGGGGCCGCCAGAAGGATGTAGGATTTGAGAGTGTGGGGAATTGTGTGCGCAGGCAGAGGCAACAGAGGAGAAAGGCGCGAGGGGCCCAGGGCGCGCCCCAAACCCTGAGAGCAGGGCCGCCAAGGGACACACAGTGGCTGAGGCGGCTGGGCTGGCGTGTGGGGACGAGCGGGCCTCAGCACTCAGCATACGGCCTCCCTATGGCGGAGGACGGCCCAGTGTCCCCGGAGGAGCCCAGGGAGGGATGGGGGGCGGGAGGAAACACGTGGAGCGCGGGCGGGCTGGGAGGCGGCGGCCGCAGCGTCTAGTCGCCGTCCTCTTCGTCATCGTCGTCCTCCGTGTTGATTTCGCCCTCCAGCACGTCCTCCAGCCAGTCCTCCAGCTCCTCCGTGGAAGGCAGGTCCTCCTCGTCGGCCATCTCCATCCACACGCTGTCCGCCTGGGGTGAGGCACACACGGGGCCGCAGCTCAGCCCGACTCAGGTCTTCAGACCTGCCCTCCCGCTCACGGGGCTCCCTCTGTCCTTCCCTCTGTCCTCCTTCCCTTCCCTTCACCTGTCCCGGGCCCGGGACGCTGGCCAGGGGAGGGTCTGGGTGGGAGCCGCGACGGGGGAGCAGGGATGGCTGGGCTGGCCTTTGACGGGGAACCACCGGTGGCCAGAGCGTCAAGCCAGCCACCCGTCGGCTTCTTATAACCTGCTTTTCCAGCACCGACCGCAGAAGCCTCTAGTCTCTCTCGCAAGCCCTAAAAAACGACTTGCCTTTCCCAGAACCTGATACTCATTTTCCTACTTTTGACCTTTCGCACTAACTTTTCCAGCGGTCTGGAAACGACTCGTCATCAGCTGCGCGCGTCCGGACTCCTCCAAGGCTGTGCGGTCCCCACTTTCGGTGCCACTCCCTTGAAACCCTTCTCTCTGATTCTCTCCAGCAGAAGTTGCTTTGATTTCTGTGGCTTCCTAGCATTTTATGGGTCTCTTTATGATCGAGTTTATGAGATCTGGCCGTGTCGTTAACAGAATAGCTGCGTCCCCAGTCGCACTGAGAACGGTATGAACGCAAAGACTGTGTGGCCTGTCCCCTTCACGGCCACAGACGTGGCCGAAGCACCTGCCGTGTGTGAGTGCGGTTTCTGCCCTCAAAGAGCTGAGTCTGCCGGAGAGGCAAGCACGACGCAGAGCTAGCCGAGCTGAAGTCCCGTTCGCGACGCCAAATGGGCTCTGGGGGCGCCGAGGGGGGGGCCTCCCTCCACATGGGAAGTCTGGAGAGGAGGTGGACGGGGCCTTGAAGGATGAGGCGCCAGCTGCAGCGAGGGGTGTGTGTGCTCCGGGCCTGAGCCTCTCCCTCTGCCCAGCCCTGAGACTGGGCGTGTCGGCCCCCCCGGGGGGGGGCGGTCAGCCGAGAGCAGGGAGAGCTGGTGGGGCTGGGAAGCAGAGCTGGGGCCAGTGGGGCGTGCGGGAAGGACACTCACATCGGTGACGTTGACCACTCCTATTTGTGGGGCTGACAGGTCGATGTCAAACGTCTTCTCCCAGTATGGCACCAGCTGTGGAGAGACCACGCACGGTAAGGTAACAGCATCTGGGAACGCCTGCGTCCAGGAGGGGGAGGGTAGAGGGTCAGCCCAGGGGCAGAGGAAGGTCACTGTGGACCCACGGCGGGTGGGGGCCTGAAGGGAAGGGGTAGAGGTAAGCAGTTGCAGGTAAAAATCCCAAAAGGAAAGTATCGGGAGGGTCAGCTGAAGACACTGGCCCTTGCTTCCCCAGGAAAACTGGGTAGGAAGCCGTGTTCTGATCCTGGCTCTGCTACTGCGTGACCTGTGACTTTGGGCGGGTCACTTCTCAGTGACCCTCAGCTTCTGCACCTGTGAACTAAGGTCGTCGTCCCTGGTCATTGTCAGTGTTCCTCACGTATCTCCTCATGCCGTTGCTCCTTCAACAACGAGCGTGAGGTGTTGGGGATCCGGCTGGGAACGAAGCTGTCCCCTGAGGCATGGACTCTCCGCGCTCTCAGTCTGATTGCGTAGACCCACTTGCAGGGCTCCTGTGCCCCCCCCCCCCCCGCCCCCCCCCACACCCTCTGGTTTTTTGTAGAAGGAGTCAGCCCTGGGAACACGAGCTCCCTGCCTTGTCTCTGCTCTGGGCATCGATCGTGTGTGTTGTGTTCCATGCGATTCACTTCCCATCCTGTGCCCCCTTCTGAGGGTGCCCTCCGTGCCCACGGGGCCCTTGAGCACCAGACGTAACCTCCCAAGGTCCTCGGGCCGGGAGTTGAGGGAGGAACTCTGAAAGAAGCTCCTCTCGGAAGGGGCCACCGCGTCAGGCCCTGCCTCGGGAGAACCGTGCCTCTCACCAGGGGGAAGTCGTCAGGGTCGATCCAGATGATGCTGAGATCAGGGTTTTCCGTGTTATCTTGGGCCACAGCCTTGAGCGTCTCCAAGAACTCGTAGCCATCTTGGAGGGAACAGGAGTAAGCAGTGTTTGGTGGGACAGGGAAGAAAGGCAGGCGGGCGCAGCAGGAGTCCTGGGCACTCCCCACCTCCCACCGTCGCTGGTGTCTCACGCCTGGGTCACTGCGCTCCCAGGAACGCCTCCCACTGAAGCCTGCACTCTCGCAAGCACCCCTGTCTCCCGGTCACCGGCACCCGCACCCAAACCTGCGTCCCTCCCTCACCAGGATCAGCTTCCTCCGCGAAGGCCACAATGTGAATTCCATCCATGTCGTCCTCCTGTTGGGGGCAGCGAGGCTTAGCCGTGCTTTCTGAAGTTAGGGAGCCACACACACCCTACATCTTCCCGGAATTTCGTGGACCTCCAGCTTCCGGATCAGGTACGTTCTTGTGGCGGCGGCCCTTTCCCAGGTGACACGGACGGCTCGGCTTCCCCTACAGGGACCCCGCACCTCCTCTAGCAAACTCTTTAGCCCCAGATCTCCCTCGCTGTCATCTGTGTCAGCGTCTGTGTGTCTCCTAATTCCTGGCACGTTCTTCAGAGCTACAGCCTACAAACTTTGCTGGTGCATGGTCTTTCCTACGAGCCAGGCACGGAGCGCAGCAGGGCGGGAAGTTTCCAGGACTTGCGTCTCCGGCCACCTACGCGCCCCCCCTCCCCCCCCCCCCCCCCCGCCAGGGACCCGGCTCCATCGGGGGTGGGGGGTGGGGACACTCACCCACGTCTCATACATACTCTCAGGCTTCAGCTTCCTCAGGGTGGACCTAGAAGAGACAGTCAGGACTCAGCGGGCGAGAAGGATGCGCCCTCAGAGAGCTCTGGGTCAAGCCTAGGGCACAGACGGCTTGTGGGCCAGAGCAAAGCCATCTGGCACAGTCTAAGCTCTGGGCTCCAGGCCCAGGTCACCGCCTGGTTAAAGCAGGTGGGAGGGCAGCGGGGGGGCCTGTGGCCCCGGAAGAGAGTCTCTGGGAGAAAGGTGAGAACGCGGTATCTGGGCATCCCCTCACTCGGTCGGTACAGCTGAGTCTGAGAAGTTCTCGGTGCTGTGCGGGGCACCGTGTGCGCATTGGTGAGCGAAGCGGACTGGCCCTCCCCGGCAAAGGGGGCCGTGATCTAGCGGGAGAGCGTGAGCTTGGTGGAGTCTCCACGGACACCGGGGGACGCTCCGGGTTGTGGAGTGCCACGAGGGAGGAGAATCTGTGTGAGTGCAGGCAGGGTCTCTCCGCCTCTGGCTGGAGAATTCTCGGTTGTGGGGGGCCATCCTGTGTGCCCTGTAGGAGGTTAGCAGCATCCCTGCTTCTCTGCCCACCCCGCCCCCCGCCTCCCGCCAAACACCGGTAGCTCTCTCCTCAACCAAAAATGCCGGTCAGGATCCCATTCTGACATTTCCTACCGGTGGGACCTCAGCACCTGAGCTTGTTGAGAGGATTAAAAACAATAATAGAGATGGGAGCACCTGGCAGAAGCTGGTCTGTGTGCGAGTGAGCAGTCGTACCCAGAAGGGCCTTCACCTGCCTCACCTGCCTTCACGGATCCCCCGGCCCCTCTCGCACGTGAGGCGCATGGGCGTTCTGGCCCGAGGAGGCGCCCCCCCCCCCCCCCGGCTCAGGCTTGCCCCCACTGCCCACCTCCTGTGCTCCTCCACGAAGCTGACAATCTCCTCTTCGCTGTTGGGCTTGTCTGGGATGGTCACAGGCTCTTCCATGAAGGCCTCATAGAAATCGATCTCATTCAGCTTCAGGGTCAGCTTCTTTGCCACCTTTGGGGGAGGGGGCAGGGGGAGGGGAGCGGGGGATGCGGGTCATGGGGAGAGGCCGTATCACTGCGAGCAGGTCTTAGGAAGGAAGCCAGACAATCTGGGCCCTTGTCACTGCCGCTGGGACAATGGACAAATGCCTTAACGTCTCTGGGCTTTGGTTGAACCTGAGAGGGGTGGGTTAAAGGATCTAAAATCTTTGGGGCGAGAGAGAGAGGCCTGAGGTGGGGTGGGGGTTGTCGTGTGTGGCAAGGGACCAGGTCCCCCCCATCGATTCTGGGAGAGAGGTCTGGAGGGCAGCTGCAGGGAGCGAGGGGGACCCCATATGGCCACAGGGAGGAGAACCTTGCTGTCGAAGGTGGCGAAGAAGGGGATGTAGGGGTGAAACTCCTCCGCCGCATCCTCAAAGGCCTTGTAATCTGAGGGAGTAACGCAGAGTCAGTCTCTGGGGGAGCCAGGGTCTGCCGGGGAGCCGTGGCCCCTCTGTCTCTCCCCGAGTCTCCTTTGGCCAGAGGGGTTCCTTCTGAGACCCACCCCCTAGTCCTCTGAGAGCAGCAAAACTTTAGTGGAGGAAGTTAGGGTGCTGGGGGTCCCCGTCTGGGAGCCCCCCGTGCAGGGAGGTCAGAGCAGCAGGCAAGCTGACCATGCCAGGGGGTCGGTTTTAGAGATGCGGAGGCAGTGGGTGGAGTGGGGTTAGGGAGACGGGTGAAACAGGGGTCCAAGGAGGGACAGGGGCATCTGGGGGTTACCCACGCTCTGAATCTTTGCTCTTGAAGTAGCCAATGAGTTTGATCTCATCCTCGATGTTCTCAAATGCCTGCAGTTCGCGTTCGCCTTCAATCAATTCCACAGGGTCCTCTAGGACCTGGGGGAGAGTGTGTTCTCGCCTCACTTGAAGGAGCAGGGGGGAGGGATGAGGGCAGCAGGGCTGGGAGGGAGGGGCTGTCTGCTGCCTGTGTGTGCGTGTGTGTGCACGCGTGCAAGGCTGGACTTGGTTGGGGATGGGTGTGAAGTCTTAAAGCAAGGCCATTAGGTCCAGGAGAATCCTCACATCCAGCAGAAACTCCACCAGGGTGTCCGCAGAAAGCTCGCCATCATACTCGATGACTTCATCTCCCTTGAACACGTAGATGCTGTCCTCTTCCGTGAGGCCTAGGGAGCGAGCCGGAGGTGAGCCCGGAGGCCACCTGCCCACAGGTCCAGGGCCCGTCCCAGTGCCCCTGGACCCCACGCCCTCACCTCTCCCTCGCCCCTACCCCGCCCACCTCCCGTCAGGCCCCCACAGCCCTGGGCGCTGTGCCTGTGGGTCTACCCCGGCAGCCCGCCGGGCCCCGGGGCGCTCCAGGAGAAGGGGTGCTCAGCAGGGGTGTCGGGGGGACATAGGGAGACACAGACTCTAGCAAGATGTCTCCCCCTCTCTGCTCTCCATAACTAGAGACACAGATATTCCTTTACCTCCTCCGAGGACTCCAGCCGCTCACTCCCGGTCCAGCCCTGTAACCTGCTGCCATTACTGACCGGATGACTTCATTAGTGACCGCCCTCCCCAGCCACATCCGGAGTCCGGTTCAGGCCTGTGGTGCTCCCTGGTGGCTGGTGCCGTAACCCCGGCCCCCCCGGCCCCCCCAGGCTCTGGCCGGAGAGGCTTCTCCTGTCCTGGCGGTGTTCCCTGACTGCCCCTTTCCTCCGGCGCCTAGCCCTGGTTTGTAGGTAAGTATGAAGAGGGCCACCCCCACCTCTTTCTAGGATTGCAGCCTGGGGCTCTCTGAGGAGTGTAGGAGATGCCGAAACTCCTGCCATACCCGTCCCCATGTCAGTCTTTTCTCCCCGCTGCCAGATCAGGCCCGGTGGGGCCCTTGGCCTGTACAAGGGCTGCCCTCCAAATCCCGGCCTGGGCCTCCCCCATCCCGCAAGCCCCCACACCTGGGCCTCTCCGGGCGCACACTACTACGCGCCCCCCCCCTCACCCCTCCCTTACCTAGTTTCTTGGCTACAGCTGCGTCCTTCTCAGAGTCCACCAGCCCGAAGCCAACACCCTTGTCTTCGAGGACTTGGGCCGCTAACTGGAGGGAGCATAAGGTTAAAATCAGCTCTGGGATTTTTAGTCACCCCGTGCCCATCTCACGCTTCCCAGAGGGGTCATTTGGGATGTGGGGAAGATAAGAGTTGCCCTTGGCACTGCATAAAGCTCCAAGGTAGCTCCATTTGCTTGCAAGCCCACCCTTTTGGGCTGTAGTTAGTTTGGTTTCGGCCCCCGGACACGTATTGCTCGTGCACAGCGTGCTTCTGATGTTCCCGAGGGATGCTGGGGAGTCTGGCTTCAGAGTGACTGAGGCCCTTTCTGCTTTGGGGCTGAGCCTTCCCCGCCATCGTCATTAAAGGCCATGCTCAGTGTGGGGTGACATTAGAAGTCCCTGGGGTTCTTCTGAGTGAACCCCACTGGGGAGCATTTTGGAGGGCAGGAGGGTGTGTGTGTGGCGGGGGGGCGGTCCGGGGTCCGGTCATGTCACCGAGGAGTGGCGGAAGCCAGAGAGCTGAGGGTAGAGGTCACTGGGGCCACCACTTGTCACCTTCAGAGGCAGAGACTCCAGCAGGCACGAGAGGGGACCCAGGCGGGGCTCTCCTCACCAAGGCCAGACTTCCCCTGTGTCCCCCAGCCCTTCCTTTCTCAGGCTGTGGACAGTCACTCCCGCAGGTCCCTGCCCCCTTCAGCCTCGCAGCTGGACTCCGCCCTGGTGCCCTCTGCCGCGGGCTTGCAGCCTCACCCCGCCTAACACACACAGGCACCCAGATTCTCAGGAGGACGGGGAGGCTGTTGGCAGGTGGATGGGCCGAGATGCTGAGCACTCAGGATAAAAATACTCAGTGCATTAATCAGATGGCAGGTTCCAGCAGCCACAGGGGCCTACAGAAACGAGAGCCTGTGGTCCTTCCCGCAGGCAGGCTGGGGCCTCGCTGTCCTGCCGGGCTGGAGAACGGGCTGCACAAGCTTGGGCCGGAACATGAACAACCGTACGGCTAGAGAGCGTGTGGGGCCGCATCAACCCGTCATCCCCAAACACAGGCCCTTTCTCTTGTTGTAAGTCGGCTTGGGGGCGAGGAGAACCTTCCCGTAGAGAGAAGCTGGGGAAGGCATTCTGAGGCCTCCTCCAATGGCAAGAATTTTCCAATCAGGGCACCTGACCTGACCCAATAGGGGCAGATGGAGAACTAGGGAGAGAGGTACTGAGACCGGTGGGCGCCACGGTGGTCTCTGTTAAACCTTTGGCGGGAGAAACAGAGACCATGCAAATAAGATGTCGGTAGCATTTAAAATGCCTACCCTTTGGTTCAACTTGGGGTGCAGGCCTGCGGTGTGTGGAGAGAAGGGGCATGTTCTGGCCAGGAGAGTAGGTGGGGGTGTCGTGCAGCTCCAGCCCCCTCCTCCGAGCAAAGCACGGCCCTTCTCCTTTTTGTGCTCCTCTTCCAAGGACACCTCAGTCCAGGCCATGGAGGAGGGGTCTCCCAGCAGCCCCTCCCTCCTAAACGTGCCTACCCGTGGTGGGACTTTGGGGTCCCCAGTCCCTTTCCCGTGGGGCTGAGGCCGCACGCCGCGAGGCCCCGAGTCCCCCTCCAAGTCTGCATGCGGCTGCGGGCTAGGGGTGGCCGGGAGAGGCCGCTGTGCTCTGTAGGCCAGCGGACCCCAGACTCACCTCCAGGATCAGCTCTTCCATCTCAAACTGTCTTTGTGAGGCCTTGTCATCCTCGGGGGGCTCGTGGTAGAGCAGCGCCAGCACCTCATACTTCTTGAACACATTCTTGTAGTTCTTGGCGTTGACGTTGACCACACGGTCCACACCGTCATACTGAGGGAATTCCAGCCCGTCCTCCCCCTGCACCCCCAACCTGGGTGTCCCTAGCAGCAGCAGGAAGAACAGTGCCGGCCGCAGCCCGGGCCCCGTGCTGGCCCCCATCCTGTCGGCGGTGCGGTGCGGGGCAGGGAGCGGGGTCAGCCTCGGCTCTCCGGTCCCTAAGAGGGTAGCTGGGGTCGGGCGGGGCCCTGGGTCCTGAACCCCGAGCGAGGGGCTCACAGGGGCGTGGGGTGGGGAATGGCCTGGAGCAGTGGACAGAGGACACTGCTGGGTCCCGGACAAACTGCTGACAGAGCCAAGAGTGAATGGGTCAGGAGGAGGGATAGGAACAGGGGGTGGGGAGGGAACCGGAGCTGCCCCTGAAATTGGCACCCCAGGGCCCCCACCTGGCTCCATCTAAATATGTCTCTGGGGTTGGCAGGAGAGAGGATAACCTTCTGAGGCCAGGACAGCTCCAGAGGGCCGAGACCCTCCCTCCGCCTCCACCTCACCCCCTGGCTCTGGGAGCCCCTCCCCCGCTGCCTTCCCCGACGACGGCCAGGGCTCCTCAGCACAGTCCCCACGCCGGCCCGGAAAGCTCATCGCCATATTAAGAAAGGAAAAAGCCTGAGCTAAAAATAAGACCAGATGAGTCGGAGGTAAATGAGCTGGGCTGGGGGAGGGGAGGCATGGGGTCATTAGGGAGAGTCCAGGGAGGGCAAGGGTACTCAGACCCAGGGAAATGGGGGTGGAGAGGAGGTATTCTGGGTCAGAGATTCGATTCGTACGACAGGACAAAGGGGGCACAAACGCCTAAAGCCTGGGACCGTCCTCTGGATGTGGCCTGTCTCCTCCATCCAGCGGAGGAGAAGGTGGTAAAAGGCACCCGGGCTGCAGGAAGAGACCCCCTGCACTTCCCTTTCAAGAACCAGGACTAAGGATGATGTCATTCTCCGAATAAAAGATGGAGCCTCGGCCAGGACGGGCGGCCTGGCTCAGCCCCAGCCACTTTCCTGTGCTTCACTCAACACCCTAAGTCGGGACGCGGGGGAAGGACGGGGCATGGGGCAAGAAGCGCTGGCCCACATCTACGCTGCAGAAGTGTGATTTGGGGTTGCTCTCCACGGAAAGGGGAAAGTCCTGCAGCTTCTGCCTCCTGCTTGTGCTGGGTACTCGGATCAGAGGGGACTCAGTTCTCTAGGGCACGGTGGGGAGGGAGGGTCCCCCGGGGCTGGATGGCTGTAAGGAAGGAGAGTTGCCGCAGTGCATTCTGACCAAGAGGATCCGGTATAAAGGCCAGGGGAGAAGCTACCTCAGGGAAAACCTGAAGAGGTGGGCCCTGCACCAGAGCTGAGGATGTTGATTGGTTCTGCGCACTTGAGAGCCCAGGTGGAGTGTGGGGGAGGGGCTCTAACTTCCTGGGCCCCATCCTGGGGTGAGGGCTGTGGATGAGCTCAGCTCTGGGTACCTAGGAAGGGAGGACCCTCTTCATGGCCCTCCAGTGCTCTTACCAGGCACAGGTAAACTGAGGCACGGGGGAGCCCATGGGAGAGGTTAGATCAAAGCACTCCATCCCCACCCTGAGCTGTCTCCGTTTTTGGAGAGACAGGGTTTATTTTGCACCCAGGCAGGGGCATGACACTGTGTTAGAGGGATAACTTTTCCCCCTCCTGTGGGGTGGGCCTTGCACCGCCAAGCAAGGAAGGCCACGGAAAATCTCAAGAACGTGCCAGGAGGGGGTCCAAGAGAGACAGCTGTCCCTGGAGCAAGAGAGGCCAGAGCTAACCTGAGCAGGGCCGGTTGGAGCTAAAGGGGCCTCGGAACACAGCTCCCGGGCTCCCAGGAGAGCCACTGAGCGGCCCACACGCCCACGGCCACGGCCGGACGGAAGGCCCACAGGAGGGAGGGCGTGGATTTCTGACTTCTGCGGCACCCTGGGGGAGGGGAGACTCCAGAACATTGGACCTGCCCCTCGGCACCCCCAAGGGTGTGGGATGGGGCTAAGTGGTGACCTGGGCCCCCCAGTCCCACCCAGTCCACCCCAGCAGCTGCACCCTCCCCACCTGCTCCTCACCCCTCTCTCCCTGCTGCTTTGCTCCCTACTTTCTATTCCGTCCCTTCCCTCTGGACCCCTGCCTTTGGGCCCTTGGACTTAATGGGCCTCAGCAGCCGGTATCAAATGACTCTGAGTTGGGGCCTCTGTATTTTTAACCCACCAGACACCCGAAGCTCCTGCTACTGAAACCCGAGGAGCTGGCCCCTCGGCGCTCCCCATCCCCACTCACTCCCCACACCCTGGCCCCTCCATCTTCCAGGCCTGGTTCAGCCACGTCAGCAGCAGGGGAAGGACCCCAGACCGATATAGCCCTGTCCCTAGGGGACCTGCTGTTGGAGGAGGGAGGGACCTTGGGAGGAGCCCGATGCAGGGCCGGAGGGGCTGGCTCCACCTTACAGTGGCGTTCTCTTTGCCAGCCCACTGCCTCTCACCCTCCAGAGCCATCCGTGGACCTCCCCCTGCTCACGACCCTATTGTCCTGGTTTTGGTTTTGCAGTTGGGTGTTTTCGGCGCAGCCCTCATCGCGGGACTGGGCCCTAAGTGGTTAAGGGCGTAAGTGTTGGAGTCAGACAGACCTTGGCGTCCTCATCGGTGAAACAGGGTGGGTGCTAAGAGTCTGCTTGTTGTGTGAGTTGCTGGACGGTGTGCACAGGGCGCTCGTCCCACCGCGGGGCACACCGTGCTGTCCCTTAACACACATGGTTTGGTTTTGATTTCCAACAGACTTCCTCAGCATTTCTCTCTGCTCTGCATGCTTTGGGCTCAGCCCCCGCAGAGGTGTGACCAGGCCCTGCCCTCCAGGGCAAAGTGGACCAGCTCACAGAGCAACAGCCAGCACAGGACCCAAGGGGAAGGGGGAGCCACGTCTGACGGTGGCCGGGAGGGGTGAGGGCCCAGGGCACCTCCGACTCCTCCACCTGACGCGCAGCAGGGAGCCTGGGCCCAGCTTCTCAGGCTCCGGACGCCGGACCTTGGGGAATGTCTGTCACCCTGGGCAGAGCCTGGGTGCGAAAGGGCAGGGTGTTTCACCTAAAGTCAAGGCTACGGGATCCCAGATGATGGGACGGGGTCAGGATGCCCGAGGGCAGGTTGTGGAGGCAGGGACCAGCTTCCGGTGCCCAGAGGAAGGCGGGGTGGCCGGGCCGGCATTCGCCACTCACCCTGGGATGCTTCCCAGGTCCCCTCTGGACCCCGGGTTCTTCGTGGATGAACTAAGGCCTTTTCTAGCACTAAGTTCCATGAGGAGTCCATGTGCCAGTCTGGACAAGGGTGCTGTGGCCCCTCTCGAGGCTGGGGCTCCACCGCCTCTCCCTCACCTCACCCGAGCCTCCCTGCTCTACCTGTCCTGTCTTTGCTTTCCCTCGGGTCTTTGGACTTTAAGTCGGGGCTTAGCCCTCGAGGGGCAGGGATGCTCGATTCGGACCCCCTCCCAGCCTCGACTCGATCCCTGAAAGACCACCCTGCCCGGCTCCTGTGGAGACACCGTCACTGTAATCCCCTCTTTCCAGAAACCAGACAGACACATCCAGCCAGGTGAGAGCCATTGCAAACGTTTATTCTCTAGACTGGCTACTGATTGCACAGGACGGCACCCCCCCCACTGGGCCCCCCCCCGCCCCCCCCCGTTTTCCCCCCCCCCCCCCCCCCCCCCCCCCCCCCCGGGGCCCTCAGTCCAGCCCCAGGATTGCCTGTCTCTCTCATCCCAGGTAATTCATCCCAGCAACTCTGCCCCAACTCAGGCTCTTTCAGATGCGCCAAGCTCATAACCCCAACCCCTCCCCCCCCCACCAGTCCTGGGACGCCCCCGGCAGGGGAAGCTCCTCCTCTGCTGAGTTCAGTAGTAGGTCTCTCTCTCCAGCCAGCCTGTGGACGAGAGGAGACCCGAGTGAACGGGGGAAGGTGGAGGGGAGCGAGGACAGGGTAGGAGGCTGGCGGTAGAACTCAGGGCCCCGAGGCCTGGAAGAAGCCGGACGCCGGAGGCCAGGAGTCAGGACCTTTCCGGCAGCACGTGCAGGCTGTGGGGTGGGGAGAGACGGACCCCGCCCCCGGGAGCCAGGCAGGAGGGGAGAGCCAGTTAGGAGGCTGGAGACCCCCCAGAGCAGGGCGTGGGGCGCCTCACCGCCAGGATGACGTCGGATGATGAGTTTTCGGATTTCATCATAGACAAAGATAAGAATGCTGTAGGGAGTGGCGCAGAACCACCAGGATAGCCTGTGGGGAGGAAGTGCTGGTCAGCGGGGCGGGGCCAGAGGGGCCAGAGGCGGGCAGGTGCCGGGAACAGCGCAGAACCGAGTGTCTCTCGTCATCCTGTGCAGGGTTGAGCCCTAGCTCTGGGGAGGTCGGAGCTGAGGGACGGAGGAGACAGAAACAGAAGAAGCCGGTGATAACAGAACGTGATAAATGCCGCGTTAGAGGTACACGCGGTGTTCCTGCTTCTGCAGGCGCTCAGGGAGACCCCTGTTGCCTTTCGGGTCTTCGGGGCCTTGCACCCCCGAAGGGGAGGTGCTCTGAGCAGGGTGGGTCTACCTGAGATGGCACCTGTAGGGATATTTCACCGAGGAATGGATATACTTGGCCATGTTGCCAACACGGGGAACGTTTTTCTTCCGGAACCTCTTCTGTCATTAGAGGCCAGGGAGAGAGACTCTGGGGAGGAGTCAAATCACAACCACTGTTTGTTCCCTTGGGTGACAGGGAGGTGGCCTAGACCAGAGCCATCCCAGAGCAATACACCGCGAGCCACCTGTGACGCTTACTGTTTTCCAGTAGCTGCATTAAAATAAGTAAAAAGTTACAGGGGCAGTTAATTCTAATAATAGGTTTTTATTTAACCCAATATATCCAAAGTATCATCATTTCAACAGGGAACCAATGTAAACATTAGTAAGGAGATATTTTACATTCTTCTTTTAACCCTAAGTCTTTGAGATCCAGGGAGTACTTTAAGCTGATGGCGCATCACACATCAGACACTTAATTTTCAAAGGGTCAAGAAAATGTAGTCCAACCCAAACAGGAAAGTTGTATTTAGCAGAATAATATCTGACACTGCTTGAGTTTGTAACTCTACATTAACTAGATAAAATTTCAAATTCAGTTTCTCAGTCTCACTAGCCATATTTCAAGAACTCAATAGCAAGTGATGGAAAGAGGATGATGTGGGAAACGAAGGCAAAAGAAAAGTTAAATTTCCATACTGCCTTCAGCCCATTGACAAGTCCCTGAAACAGGCAGCGTGACCTTCCTCTAGGGATTCAGCTGCCTTGATGTTGCTACCTTGCTAAGGGCAAAAGGCAGTCTTAGCCCGACGCCCAGGACCCTGTAAGTCTACTTTAACATATAGAAATTACTTTGGAAACTTCCTTTATCTCTACCCCTCGAGATACATGTTGGCCATCATCCTCCGAGGATATGACCCACCGATACACATCTGAAGGGTCTCATGACTAAGGTTTTATTAGACGGTAATAAATGAACTTTTCCTAACAATAGCTAGCCCCCTCAAGGCCCTGGGAACCTTGCTCCCAAAATTCCTTAGAGACTGATG